TTTTGTAATAGAATGATTTCTATTCCCTTGGATATATAATAATGATTTAAACGCCATCATATATAATTATATAATATATAATGTAATATATAATATATAACTATAATACATATAAAGTAATTTATAATATATATTATAGCTGATTAATATATTCTAGCTAAGGCATATATAATATATATTTGGTTTGGATTTGCATTTCTCTAATCAGTGATGTTGAGCTTTTTAAAATATATTTGTATATATATTTAAAACATATAATGTATGTGTATATATATAGTATATATCCAAATATATTGTATACTTTATATATGTATATATATGCACCATATATATACATACATATGTTTTATATATATATACCGTATATTATACATACTATGCTATACACACACACACACACACACACACGGTGTGTATATATAGTATAAATAAGAGCCCAACTTCACTCTTGGCATGTGGATATATACATAGTATATATACATAAACTAACTCAAAGTGGATCAAAGGTCTAAACATAAGACTTAAAAGTATAAAGGTCTTAGAAGAAAGCATAAAGGAAAAGTTTCGTGATTTGGGTTTTGCAATTATTTCTTGGATCAAAGACACCAACAGCACAGGGAATAAGAAAATAGATAGATTTAATCAAAATAAAAGTGTTTTGTGCATCAAAGGACACCATCAGTAGAGTGAAAAAGCAACTCATGGATTGCAAGAAAATATTTGCAGATCATACATACATATATAAGATTAATATCAAGAATATATTTTTAAAAATGCCACGTTGATACTTACACGGCCACTTGTTTTTACTTTTGTTGCATTTGGATGATGTGTCTTTGCCCAGAGCTTTGTTTCCATATTTGTTTCTATGTTACATTACCTATTTGTTTACAATAGATACCTTTGTTTTTTTTGAATCCACCTTATAATCTCTTTTGATAGAGTTTTACCTCTATTTATTGTAATAATGATTTATCTGATTTTATGCCTTCCATTTGATGTTCACTATTTAGCTCGTTATATTTTCTTCCTTCTCTTTATATATTTTGATTGGATGGATGAAATTTCTGCTCATTGTTTCCATTCTGCACCCCATTTTTTCTCTTTTATCCTGAGATGATTAGGAACGTTTTATCATAGGATATTATTAATTTTCTCTTTAGTGGCCTCTTGATCACATTGTCACATTGTCCTTTTTTGAAATTATATATATTTTGCAAGAATTATTACTGAACAGTATTTTCCTATTGAAGATTTCTCATGAGATTCATTTTACATTTATTTGGACTACTTCTTCCGGTATTTCTCTCAAAGATAGAGATACCCTCTGCAAGTGCTTTTATTTCTGAAAATGTCTCTCTCGCCCTGACAGAAGAGTGGTCTTTTAGTTGCTATTTCTGACATCATATCGCTTTCAGTAGTGCAAATGAAGAGTTTTTCTTATTTCCCTCATTCTTTCTCTGAATAGTCTGATTTTTCACACTTAGAATTGTTTTCTATTTATAAATGTATCATATACATTCAATAATTTCCCCAGATTTGTTCATTGATTTAGTTCCTGTTTGTGTGTGTGGCGTTTATGGCCTAGTTTTGTCAGCGGTGGGAGATGTGTTTGTGTGCTAAGGCCCCAGTGCAGGTACAGGTGTGTCTAGGATTGCGACTCTTAGGATGTCTGATGGAGATACAGGCATGGAGGCCAGTCATGGGGACATGAGATTGATTGGTAGGGAGCCAGGACCATTAGAATGGAGGAATTGAAGGCTCTCTGATCAGGAATTGTAGGACGAATGATTCAGGGCTCATGGGCAGCAAGGCATGGGAATCAGTGAATCTGAGATTTCAGTAACGGCTTTGGGAGTAGAGTCACTGGGTAGCAATTGACACTTAGAGCAGATTAAAGAGTGAGAATGAGGAGTTAGGTACCAGGGTTGGTGATAACTTAAAGGGCCTGTGAAATCAGATAGTATGATAATGTAATAGAACAGTATGCCCTGTGGATATTTTATAAAATATTTAAGCAATCCACAATTATTGGATATTTAAATGTTTCCAATTTTTTTTTTTGACAACCACCATGTTGGATAATCTAATCTTTCTTTTTTATTAATCACGTTATGGTAAAACTTTTGCACTTAAATCTTTATAGAATGTGCGATGATGGGATGATATTTTAATGTTGTAGCTCTAGAAATAAATTTTTGAGTAAGGTACATGGGCACTAACTGATATATGTGTCCATGGGTGACACTGGCACACTTCCTTCTCCCATCTGTACCTCTGCCCATCTGTTTTCTCAGATCTCTGCCCCTTAGTTCGAAGAGCCAAAAATGACCGAGTCCTTGGTAAGTTCTTATTTGTTCATCTATTTATTTGTTACTTTCTTTTACTTTTAGTGGATTTAGGAGACATCTAGCAATCTTCATAGTAAGATGACAAGACTAGATAAATAAAAACTAAGATCAGAGAAAATGAAGAAGAGACTGTCAACCCCAGGTCAAGTTTAGAATATATGGTCTGACATGGTTATGAACTTTGAACTGTTAAATTGTCTCTGATCTTCCTGAAAGACATAGCAATAATGGAAATTGGATACATGGTGTATATTTTTAACAAGTGATTTATCATGGTTCTTGATGTTGAGAAATTTTTTGAGTGATCCTCAGATGGATAATGACAGAACGGTCTTCAATAGTAACCCTGTTGAAAGTGCACCAACAGGCCAGACTCGGTGGCTCACACCTGTAATCCCAGCACTTTGGGAGGCCAAGGTGGGTGGATCACCTAAGGTTGGGAGTTCGAGACCAACCTGGCCATCATGGTGAAACCCCGTCTCCCCTAAAAATACAAAATTTAGCCAGGCTTGGTGGCGGGTACCTGTAATCCCAGCTACTCAGAAGGCTGAGGCAGGATAATTGCTTGAACCTGGAAGTTGGAGTTTGCAGTGAGCCGAGATCGTGCCATTGCACTCCAGCCTGGGCGACAAGAGCGAAACTCTGTCTCAAGAAAGAAAGGAGGGGGGGGAGAGAATGAGAGAAGGGAGGGAGGGAGGAAGGGAAGGAAGGAGCACAAACAGTTTTTTTGTTTTTGTCTTAGAGAAAAGTGCTTCTGACACTTTACTTGCATTTTAATTCAGATTCGGATTTAGTAGATATGGGATGGAATATGAGTCTTTCAGCCAGGGTGCAGTGTAGTTCTGCCATCTCGGCTCACTGCAACCTTTGCCTCTAGGGTTCAAGCAATTCTGCCTCAGCCACCTGAGTAGCTGGGACTACAGGCACGCGCCATCACCCCTGCTAATTTTTGTGTTTTCAGTTAGAGACAAGATTTCATCATGTTGGCCAGGCTGGTCTTGAACTCCTGACCTCAAGTGATCCATCCACCTTGGCTTCCCAAAGTGCTGGGATTACAGGTATGAGCTACCGTTTCCGGCCTAACATTTTATAATTTTTTTTTTTTTTTTTTTTTTGTAACTGAGTTTTGCTCGTTACCCAGGCTGGAGTGCAATGGCGCAATCTCGGCTCACCGCAACCTCCGCCTCCAGGGTTCAGGCAGTTCTCCTGCCTCAGCCTCCTAAGTAGCTGGGATTACAGGCATGCACCACCATGCCCAGCTAATTTTTTGTATTTGTAATAGAGACGGGGTTTCACCATGTTGACCAGGATGGTCTCGATCTCTTGACCTCGTGATCCACCCGCCTCGGCCTCCCAAAGTGCTGGGATTACAGGCTTGAGCCGCCACGCCCGGCCGGTAACTAATTTTTAAAAGTTCCTAATACTTCAAAGAGAACTGGAATGTGGGCTATAACTTACTTTGGGCCCCAGCTTGTGCCTGCTTCAGATGGCTTTAAATATTTCCCACCTTCCATTACAATGAAAGACAGGGAAACCTAAGCAAGGCCCTCCTCACTCAGCACTGCAGGGCGTCTTTAAAGGAATGCAATTGCAATGGGAATTTAAGGCAAGGAGCTGTCTCTAAGGCCTACAGAGGTATTGATATGTAAACAGTATAAAACAGTCACTTTGAGTGATTAGAGCAGGAGCCAAGCAGGCCTAGAAACATGTTGGAAACACTTAGAAAAATTTTGTTAAAAGGAGAAGTAATGTTGGGTACTCAAAAGCATTAAAATTTCATGTCTTGTAAAGCTAGTCTATACTTTGTCCTGACAGTCCTGATTAATGGGGAAATTTCTGGGATCTTAGTTTATTTCAATTCCTAGAACCCAGAATTAGCATGCTGGAGATTGGAACTTAGAGGCAGATCACACAGTTCAACACCTCTTTGCAGTATGAGAACAGAACACTAAGGCCGAGAAGGGCTACAGCTGTAATCCCAACATTTTGGGAGGCTGAGGCGGGTGGATCACTTGAGCCCAGGAGCTTGAGACCAGCCTGAGCAACATGGTGAAACACCATTTCTACAAAAAAATAGAAAAATTAGTCAGGTGTGGTGGTGTGTGCCGGTAGTCCCAGCTACTCCAGAGGCTTAGATGGGAGGATCATTTGAGCAGGAGGTTGAGGCTGCAGTGAGCTGTGATTGCACCTCTGTCCTTCAGCCAGGTGGCAGAGCGAGACCCTGTCTCAAAATGAATGAATGAATGAATGAATGAATGAATAAATAATAAATAGTTTGGTATAGAATTGAACTTGAATCCCAGACTCCTGACTCCAAGACCAGTTATGTTAGTTTTCTAAAGCATTTGGTGTAATCCTGACATTCCCAGTCAAGTTGCTCTGCGTTGCTTGTTAGTAATCAGAAAAGGGAATTAGATTGCTAATGTTTTTCTTTTTTTTTTTAACACAGAAAGTGCCCTTACAGAATCCTCCCATTAAGTGGGCTGAAGGACATATAAGGGAGTATTTAATATAGAAGTGCAAGCTGTTTCTTCTGTGCATACCCAGGTAAGAAAAGTCAAGGTTAATAATGAAGGTAAAGGTGCAGCAGAGAAGCCTTTGAAGGACAAGCCAATAAAAACTCAATGAAAATCCTTGTCTACAGATAAATAAAAAGCAATCTTGTAATTCTTTGTGGGAACATGCAAATCTGTTTAGGTTTCATTTGTCATTGGAATAGAAAGACCTTACAAAACCACTGAGCACAGAAAGGAAAGAACCTGGTACCTGCACCGTTGCTTGAGAAACTTCGCAGGGAGACTTGATTTGAAACTCTCATCTGCTGTTATCTCTTTTCCCTCTGTAATTCTGGTACTTTACCAGACTTTAAAAAGAAATTCCATTCTCCCTCCTTTGCCTGCCACTGTCTGAGTTCTGCATACTTACCTGTTATGCTGACCTCTGCTTACAGAACATTTCAGAGCCTAAATTATTTTTTCTTTAGCTAATAATTAATGAAACGTCCAATCTTGTGCACCTCATTTTACAAAGAAGTTCATAACCTCAGTCTAAAACGTCATATCTTAGGACTTCTGGTTTGAAACCTGGCTAAGAGGTGCTACCCATAAAGAGCTATTTGGTTGTGTTTATGAATCCACTGGTGAACATTGATGGGACAAAACCCCATGAGCCCTGCCTTCTTCCTTCCCAGGACAACCACCTGGAGAAGTTCTTCACCCTCTGCCACTCCCTGGAGAGCCAGGTGACCTTCCCCATCCGCGTACTGGATCAGAAGATTAGTGAGACGGCACTGGAGCACGAGCTGAAGCTCAGCATCATCTGCCTGAACTCCTCCCACCTGGAGCCACTCGTGCTCTTCCTGCACCTGGTGCTGGACAAGCTCTTCCAGCTGTCTGTGCAGCCCATGGTCATCGCTGGCCAGACAGGTATGAACCTGCAGGACTGGGCTGGGAGGAGGCAGGGGCAAGCAAGCATTGCCTTCTTTAATGAATCCTGACTTTCCAGAAATTCAGAGACAATGTGATCTTCCTTTTCACTGATGACAGGTGTTCAAGGGAGGCCAAGTCTTGTGCTATTTTTCTTTTAGACTCTGCATATTGGAAAGAAAAAGGAACATTGGAATAGAGTTCTTAATATTATAGCTTTTTGTGAACTTTATTAAATGATTATAGGCAGCCTTTCAAATTCCATTACTGGTCATTTTCCCTTTAAGGTATTTTTGTTTTCTTGATTAACAGGAAATGGAACATTTTAAAGTAAGACAACCTATGTTAAATGGAGGGAAGGATCAGTTAAACAGAATGCAATCAATTGTTAAAGTTAAAACATAAACTCACTGTTTTAAAGCGTATAGTTCAGTGGTTTTTAGCATTTTCACAAGGTTGTGCATTGATCGCTGTGATCTACTTCCATAACGTTTTCATCAGCTCCAAATAAAGCCCCATACCCTTTTGCAGTCATTGCCTGTTCATCCCTCCTCCAGAACTCATTCATTCTCTCTCTTACAGTCTATTTTAAATGGTTACTTTTGGGCAGACACGGTGGCTCACACCTGTAATCGCAGCACTTTGGGAAGCCCAGGTGGGTGGATCACGAGATCAGGAGATCGAGACCATCCTGGCTAACACAGTGAAACCCCATCTCTACTAAAGATACAAAATATTAGTCGGGTGTGGTGGCGCATGCCTGTAGTGCCAGCTACTCGGGAGGCTGAGGCAGTAGAGCCGCTTGAACCCAGGAGGCAAAGGTTGTAGTGAGCCGAGATCACACCATGGCACTCCAGCCTAGGCGATAGAGCAAGACTGTCTCAAAAAAAAAAAAGCTTACTTTTAATAAAGTAACACTTAAGTACAATGTGTACATTTTCCCTTGGAAATAATCTCAAAAGCTTATACTGGAGGCAAGACCAGGGTCCAGTGGCTCTCCTAACTCCTCCAGGGTAGACTGGCTAGTGTAGGGTGTCTTTGCCGCCATTTTCAGCTGTGCCTGGATAGCTCTTTGCTCTCCAGTCCAGCTGATGTCTTTTGGGTACTATCCATATGCCCAGTACTGTACTAAAACTTACAGGCTTTGTGACAATAACCAAGAGCACCTCAGACCTCAGAGGACTTATGGCAAAGAGCCAGCAACCCAGGACGAAAGTCCTCAAAGGGACACAGCTAAATTTTACAGTGGTGGTGGGGAGGGTGATATCAAAGGGGAGAGTGAGAAAACATCCATCAGGGAGGATGCAGAGGTCCACATGAAGAAATAATAGGATGAGGACAGGGCAGTGACTCATGCCTGTAATCCCAGTCCTTTGGAAAGCTGAGGCAGGATTGCTTGAGGCCAGGAGTTCAAGACCAGCCTGGGCAACATAATGAGACCATAGCTCTAAAAGAAAAAGAAAAAAGAAAAAAAGAAAAGAATAAAGAAAAATAATATTTATAAAAAAATTATTGGCCACTCAACAAGCTGAAATATATTCAACTATTTATTCAACAACTTCCCAGTGTAGGCATTATTATGTGTACTAGAAGTTACAAAAATAAAAAAAGTTTTTTGACCTCAAGGAAAAAGAATATATGAACAAATAATATTGTGTGATAAAGGCAACCATAAATGTACAAAGTACAGAGGTGCAGAGGTGTCTGAGTGATGGATTCCATCTAAGGTAGTCAGGAGGTCTTCCTGGGATGGTGGCATCTGTCCAGGGTTTTGAAGGATAAATTCCCAGTGAACAGGTGGAGACAGCATGAGCAGTGACACACAGGAATCCTGTACTAGGATGTGTTCAAAGATCTGTAAGTACATCTATGTGGCTAGAGCTTAAAGTGTAAGACAGGTGCAACGCAAAAGCATCTTGAGACACAGGACTCAATCAATTTAGAAGTATATTTTGCCAAGGTTAAGGACACACACAGGAGACAGGTCTGTGCCTTTTGCCAAAGATGATTTTGAGAGCTTCAATAATAATAATAATAATAATAATATTTTCAAAGGGGAAAGGGGTGGATATTGGGGAGAGAATTATTATTATTATTATTATTATTATTATTATTATTTTGAGATGGAGTTTCGCTCTTGTTGCTCAGGCTGGAGTGCAATGGCATGATCTTGGGTTACCATGACCTCCGCCTCCTGGGATCAAGCGATTCTCATGCCTCAACCTCCCAAGTAGCTGGGATTATAGTCATGCACCATCACACCCAGCTAATTTTTGTATTTTGGCAGAGATGGGGTTTCTCCATGTTGGTCAGGCTGGTCTCAAAATCCCAACCTCAGATGGTCAGCCTACCTTGGCCTCCCAAAGTGCTGGGATTACAGGCATGAGCTACCCAGCCGGACCAAAAATTTTTTTAGAGGTGTGAGCAGATAAGAGGCAAATGATGGTATTCCTTTGAGTCATTGATTAGTCATTGACACGTGAGATGGGGGTAGAGTGATAGGCACTTATGCATTCATCTAGCTCAATGAATCTGCATTTTTACAAAAGACAAAATAAACATAGGCCAGAGGAAGCAATCACATATTGTCTCAGATGAGCAGAGGGATGATTTTGAGTTCTGTCCTATGTCCCACAGCTGTGAATATAAGCTATAAATTTACATTGTGAGGGTGAAATTCAACAGAACTGTTTTAGGGTAAAGACCTTGGGGCTCACAAGAAATTTCCTAGTGGGTAAATTGTGAGGGAGGTATGTAGCTTTTTTGTTTTGTTTTCTTTTGAGACAGGGTCTCACTCTGTTGCCCAGGCTGGAGTGCAGTGTCTCCATTATAGCTCACTGCAGCCTTGACCACCCAGGCCCAAACGATTTTCCCGCCTTAGCCCCGAAAGTAGCTGGGACTACAGGCGCATGCCACCATGCCCTACTAATCTTTGTATAGACAGGGTTTCACCATGTTGCCCAAGCTGGTCTCAAATTCCTGGGTTCAAGTGATTGCCTGCCTCAGCCTCCCAAGGTGCTGGGATTACAGGTAGGAGACACTGCGCCTGGCCTATGTAGCTTATCTTTGAATAAGAGGCAGGTTTGTGTGACACAGTTCCCAGCTTGACTTTTCCCTTTGGCTTAGTGATTTTGGGGTCCCAGAATCTACTTTCTTTTCCCACAGGTAAAGACCAGAAGAGGCTGGTGAGAAAGAGACAGGAGACACATCCTGAATCAAGGTAAATTGAATCCTGGAGGGAACCAAACAAAACCCTGAAAACTTCCAGGAATCTCAGATTGGCCAAATCCAGGGTAATGTAGTGCTACTCCCCAGGATGGCCACACTGCACATACCTTATCTAAAGGGAACCTCCTGTAGAGGCCAAGGAAAAACGTCCCCTTTGTCCTCTGTAGGTTCACTGGAAAATCAACTGCAAAAAGCAAATTAACAGGGAAAAGGATGTATATGTATTATTATAAAAAAATTATTGTGTATGTGGGGGAACTGCAGAGTAATTACTCCACCTCTCAGTGGGTTCAGAAGCTTATATACCCCTCCTGAGGTTACAGTAAATTTGGGGGCTCACAGAATGACCCAAAACAGGTAATGGTGGTAAATCAGGATTTAGTGGCAAGACAGAAATGGAGACTTGGCTAGCAATATCATCTCATTATGTAGATCAGGGGTCACCAACCCTCGGGCCATTTACATTGTGGCCATTTACATGCCTGTTAGGAACAGGACAGCACAACAAGAGGTGAGCAGCTGGTGAGTAAGCATTACCTCCTGAGCTCTGCTGCACACGCAAGGGATCTAGGCTGCAGCTCCTTATGAGAATCTAAGGCCTGATTATCTGAGGTGAAACACTTTCATCCTGAAAACCATCCCATGGCCCTGGTCCATGGAAAAATTGTCTTCCATGAAACCTATCCCTGGTGCTGAAAACGTTGGGGACTGCTGATGTAGATGAAACCTCACAGGTAGCAGCCATTGGATGAGAATAGATGATTAATGTTTCTTTCAGACCTTTTATATTATATTATATTATATTATATTATATTATTATATTATATTATATTTATTTTTGTAAGGCTAGTCAAGTGAAGCAATGGGAGTGGAGAAGGAATAAAGAAATCTGTAACTGGTTGTGATCAATTAGTTGTAAACACCACTGCACTCGGACCAGCCTATTTATTTATTTTTTGAGATGGAGTCTTGCTCTGTCACCCAGGCTGGAGTGCAATGGCGCAATCTCAGCTCACTGCAACCTTCACTTCCCAGGTTCAAGTGAGTCTCCTGCCTCAGCCTCCTGATTAGCAGGGACTACAGGCGCCCGCCACCATACCTGGATAATTTTTGTATTTTCATTAGAGACAAGGTTTCACCATATTGGCCAGGCTGGTCTCGAACTCCTGACCTTGTGATCCTCCCACCTCAGCCTCCCAAAGTGCTGGGATTACAGGCGTGAGCCACCATGCCTGGTTTCTTTGAGACCTTTAAAGGTATCAGATTCTCCATTAATCTTCCCTATATCTGGACAAGGGAAAGCCTCAGAGAATGCCTGGCTGCATCAATGCAGATTTTCTCCAAATATGCAAGCCTCTTCCACAAAAAACAGCTTTGTAGGACTATTTCTGCCTGCAGGGCCTCTGAACAGCCATCTCAAAATATGTGAAAGAAGTACATTTTGGAGTGAAGTTTTTTGGTTTCCTTCACTGTGCATCCTTCCTGGGGTGTTATTCTGGCCACTGGTTTCATGTTCTCAGACTCACAAAGTTGAAAGAGTTGGGGGTGCAGAATTCAATGTGCTTCATCCTTTGCATGCTTGAAGAGTCTCTGGTTCCCAAACTTAGTCCCTGGGGCCCTCTGCTTCAAAGGCAAATAAAGGGAAAAAGAATCTTGCTCAACCTTAATAGAGGAAATGACTCAACAGGTTTAAAACAAAAAAAATGGAGGCATTTTGTAGGTGAAAGGGCAAGAGTCTTCTGATGCAAAATAAGAGGTCATTAGAGCAGGGCTAGATTACCAATAAGCTGACCAAACATTTGCTTAGGGAACAAACAAGGCTGAACATGAAAAAGCAAAGAAAAACATAGTAATCTGGTTGCTTCAAACACTGAAGATGGCAACATAGGAAAAAACCCAAGCCAGAACTTTTTTGGACTTCCTAACATATTTTATGGTTTAGTATTTATGGCTTGGTATTATATTTTATTTTGAATTACATGAGGGGAGGAGGGGGAAAACACTATAATTTTTCTTGCTAAGTAAGGACCATTATATATTCAGGTATAATGGAATAAGGGAGACCCTTTTAATGGGTCAGTTTGGAGTTTTAAATATGATCAACATTATCTGTGCGCATGCAAGACTGGTTAAGAAATTGGGGTAAAAACCTCTGAGGGCTTCCTGCAGTTTAAACTCCAAAGCTTGACAAACAAAGCCGGCCCCTGGTACTCCAGCGCTGTGGGCTCCTCCCCAGGTTCCCGGTGCTAGAGAGGAAGGACCTGAGGCGCTATGAGCCTGCTCCCTTCCCACCTCGGAACTAGACTGCCTTACCCTCCCTGCGAGCTGGGGGAGGCGGGGGCCGGACAACTTCATCTGGAGGTCCCCTCTCACTGGGGAAGAAGTCCCACGAAACCTACCTGGCCCCGGGCGATGACTTGTTTGCTCAAATAATCTGCTTCCATATCCGCGCGTTTTACACAGGAAAAAAAAAAAAAATGGTATTCAGATGATTTCAAAGTTGTCTTTGAAAAACAATGCATAACCCCTCACACATAAAATTGCCTATCTCACATAAGCCTACGCAGCTATCATTCTCGAGTGATCTCAGTTTTTAAGACAAGGTCTTACTCTGTCACTCAGGCTGGAGTCCAGTGGTGCGATCTGATCTTAACTCCTCGCTGCCTCGATCACCTGTGCTCAAAGGATTCTCTCATCCTCAGCCTCCATCACCCCCACCCCCAACCCCGCTAAACAGCTGGGACTAGCTGAGCCTACAGAAGCACGTGCCCGGCTACTTTTTTTTTTTTTTTTTTCCATTTTGGGAGAGACGGGGTTTCGCTATGTTGCCCTGGCTGGTCTCGAACTCCTGACCTCATGTGATTCGGCCTCCCGAAGTGCTAGGATTACAGGCGTGAGCCACTGCGCCCGGCCTCCACAAAACTTTTAAAAGTTATTAGTTCGCTATAAACAGCGGAGAAGCCATTGTGCAGTGCCACTTGATCTCGGTTCGCTGCAGCCTCGTCCTCCCAGGCTCAAGCGATCCTCCCATCTTACCCCGCAAGTAGCTGGGGCCACATGGGCGCGCCACGACGCTGGGCTATTTTTAAATTTTTTAATTAAAAAAAAAAAAAAATCTTAGCAAGGTTGGTCTCGAACTTTTGGGTTCGACAGATTCTCTCGCCTCAGCCTCCAAAAGTATTGTGATTACGGGCGTGAGCCATCACTCCCGGCCACTGTTTTCACTTTTAAAGAGTTCTATTATGAGGACTAACGTCATTCAACAAGTTAGTGTGAATTTGTTTTTGTTTCCCATTTGCCCCGGGTCTCTTAACACCCCGACCCCAGGCAGGGCTACCCTAACTCTCAGCCTCCCCAGGCAGGACCCCTTGCCCCGCTCCCGACAGGCTCCTCTCACCGCGGCAGGGCCCCTTACCCAAGCAGTACACCGTCTCGCTGGGACCCGGCCCTCACTGGGACGTGCCGCCGCGGGTCACGTGCTGCGGAGTCGCGGGGAGGGGCGGGGAGGCGGGGTTTATAGCCCGGGCGCCAGCGGGCCCCACGTTTTGCCCCGGTCGTGGCTGCGGGAGTCGCCTTCGGGACGCGCCTGCTCTTCGTCCTTCGCTGCTGTCCGAAGGTGTGTGAGCGCCCACTCGGTGACTCAGCGAGCCGGTCCGGAGCCCCCAGCGGCGCCCAGATGGGGTGGGGGGGCTCCTCAGGGCCGCAGCTTTGCTCTCTGCGGGGGTTCTAAGGTGCACAGGACGGCGGGGTGGTGGTCAGGGACCCCGCCCGCCTCGCGGCTTTCAGGTCCTGGTCGGGTGGGTGCAGACTCCTGGACCTGCGCTTTCGACCCTCACCTTTGTGCGTTGAGCCTTGTTTCCTGCCAATAGATTGAGGGCGATTGCTATCAAATGACCCTTGGCCTGCCTAGATGGTTGTGGGGAAACAATTAACATTTGTCGAAGGTACAGTATTGAAAGGGAAACGCTTTAGAAAGCCGATTTTTTTTTTCTTTTTGAGTCTCTGTGGCTCACACTGGAGAGCAGTGGCGCGATCTTGGCTCACTGCAACCTCCACCTCCCAGGTTGAAGCGATTCTCCTCACTCAGCCTTCGGAGTAGCTGGGATTACAGGCGCGCGTCACCGTGCCTGGCTAATTTTTGTATTTGTAGCAGAGACTGGGTTTCACCATGTTGGTCAGGATGGTGTTGAACCCCTGCCCTCAAGCAATCCACCTGCCTCAACCTCCCCAAGTGCTGGGATTACTAAAAGCGTGAGCCACCGTGCCCGGTCTGAAAACCATATTTTATGCGTACACATTTTGTGGGTACAGAATGGGAGTGGGCTGCTGATATTGGCGTCTCTTCCGCCTTCAGGGTAGTGGTGGCTTATTTCTTGCAGAAGTGGAATCTTGGTGAGGGGAGGGTGAGCTGGCCGGCCCAAGCACAGAGGACAGCGAGTAGGTTCTTTCCCTCCCAGCTCTGCTGGCTTTGTGTAGGGATGGGCTTTGGGGATACTAAGGTGACTTTTAAAGGGGTCCTGAAATGCTTCTTCCTCAGAGCACCCCCTCGCTCTCATGTGTAGTTTCTCCTAAACTAGCTTTCGTCCCTTCACAAGGAAGTTTTAATATGTCCCTGCAAAGGGTTCCCACTTGAGAGTCCTGTGATCCCCAGAAGAATCCAGACAGACCAAGATATCTTCTATTTGAAATCTCTTTTTAGTCCTAACCTGGATTTTAATTTGGCTAGCATTTTTGTGAACAGATTCTGCCCTTTAGAAGGCATCTCTATATCTTGGTGGAGAAACAAGACAAGCATATCAACAACTTTGCTTTTCCCTCCTGAGTATTGCAAGTTTACACATAAACTCTGAAACCTTGCCTCAGAAGAGGGAGTGGGGTTGTATGGGTGTGGGTCTCTCAGGAGGGGGACTCTGAGAGCTGGAGAGTGGAAAGAAGTGCAGAAGACTACACAAAACTCATCTTGATTTTTTTTCTCTACATGAAATCAGCATTTGCTTGCGTTTGGGAACAAATTTGGGAGAGTCTTATCCCAGCGTTCTGAAATAAGTCTCTTTTCTGCAGATTTCTCTCTCTAGGAAGAAAAATGGCATCCGTTGCAGTTGATCCACAACCGGTATGAATTTTGAGTAACCTTTGCCTACTTTCTCTCCTCTTGTGTTTTGAGAGATTAACAAGCTCACCCTCCCTACTTTGATTGCAGAGTGTGGTGACTCGGGTGGTCAACCTGCCCTTGGTGAGCTCCACATATGACCTCATGTCCTCAGCCTATGTCAATACAAAGGACCAGTATCCCTACTTGAAGTCTGTGTGTGAGATGGCAGAGAAGGGCATGAAGAACATCACCTTGGTGGCCCTGACCAGTGCTCTGCCCATCATCCAGAAGCTAGAGCCACAAAGTAAGTTCTGATTTTTCAAGATGCAGTCAAGGAACTGGTCAGTGGGAAGCCCCTGAGCTCACAGCAGTAACATCAGGGACTCCTCAGCCCTTCCTGGGGCATACATTGCCTTTACCTAGAAACTTTCAGGTGACCCTCATTATCATAGAAGGCCTGTTTCTTTTTTCTTTTTCTTTTTTTTTTTTTTGAAACAGAGTCTCGCTCTGTTGCGTAGGCTGGAGCACAGTGGTGTGATCTCAGCTCATTGCAACCTCCGCCTTTCGGGTTCAAAAGATTCTCCTGCTTCAGTCTCCTGAGTAGCTGGGATTACAGGCACGCGCCACCATTCCTGGCTAATTTTTTGTATTTTTAGTAGAGACGGGGTTTTACCATGTTGACCATGATGGTCTCGATCTCTTGACCTCGTGATCCACCTGCCTCGGCCTCCCAAAGTGCTGGGATTACAGGCTTGAGCCACCGCGCCCGGCCTACTTTTGTATTTTTAGTAGAGATGGGGTTTCACAATATTGGCCAGGGTGGTCTTGAACTCCCAACGTTATGATCCGCCTGCCTCAGCCTCCCAAAGTGCTGTGATTACAGGTGTGAGCCACCACACCTGGCCATAGAAGGCCTGTTTCATAGTATTAGCAGTTTATGACACTTCAAGTAAAACTCTATGAGAAATCTCATACTCTGTATTCTCTCCCTCATTTCCTTCCAACCACCCTGAGGCAGCTAATCTACTTTGTCTTTATAGATTTGCCTATGCTGGATATTTCTTATAAATGAAATCATAAAATATGTGAGTTTTTTCTGATTGGCTTCTTTCATCCAGCATAATGTTTTGAAAGTTAGATTAACCCTCAAAACATTATGCTGGATGAAAGGGATAAAAAGGGATGAAGCAGTAACTTCCACACTTTATTGTGGAATAGTAATTTACTGTCTAGACAGACAATATTTGTTTATTAATTCCTCAATTAATGGATGTTTGGGTTCATTCTACTTTTGGAGATATGTATAATGCTTCTGTGAACATTTGTATACAAGTTTTTATGTGGACATATGTTTTCAGTTTTTTTTGGTATATACCTAGGAGTGGAATTGCTGGGTTATATGATAACTGTTTAAGCTTTTGAGCTGCCAGACTGTTTTCCAAATCAGCTGTACCATTTTACATTGCCACCAACACTATATGGAGGCTCCAATTTCTCCACACCATGAACTGCTTTTGAATAAAGATTTAAATCATTCCTCCCTCAAATAGTTAAGCCAGGGACTTTTAGGATTATCAAGAGCCTTTAGAGACCAGCCATTCCAATTCTGCTACTTCCTAAATGAATTTGGTGCTAGTACTTGGCTTGGTATTCTTAGCAGGAAGCTCACACTAAAATCTCCCTTGTTAGGGAGATCCAGGGTTGTCCTAGCATACTCTTTCCCCATGAGAACCCCAAATACACTGTCATGTGCTGAAGTAAGTGTAGCACTGGCACGGGAATGCTAATTTTGAGAGGATTTCCAGGGAAAGCCTTATTCTCTGAATGAGGGTTCAGGGAAAGCCTGGCTATTCTTGGCATTAACATTAGGGGCCAGTTGATGAGGAAGAAGCTTCAGAGCCAGCTTCCTGTTTGGCCTTTCATTGCCTCTGCCTGCTCCTCCCTCACACCCCGATGTTTCCTTATCTGCAGAAGAAAGTTGCCAGCCACTTGCCAGGCCTCTTGCTGTCAGAGCTAGAGAAACCAGGCAATGCATTCTGTGGTAAAAGATCAACGTTCTTGCCGTTTTTATAAGGCTAAAAGTATAAGGTATGGTAATGTGTTCATTCTATACGCACACACTACATTAACACTTTCCCATTTGTGATTTTAGTTGCAATTGCCAATACCTATGCCTGTAAAGGGCTAGACAGGATGGAGGAGAGACTGCCTATTCTGAATCAGCCATCAACTCAGGTGAGCTTGGAACAAAAGTGCTGAGGCTTGACACCTCACGTTTTCATCTTCTATCTGTTATCACCAGCTGTACATACCACAAGTAGGCAAATACTTGTTTTTCCAACCTGAATCTGGATGTGTGTTTGGAAGAGGAATGGCCACTTCCTTACTTCCTGAACTGTTTGTTGTCAAGTTGTTTCTATGAAACAGAACTAGCTAGCCTGCTTTGGATTAGAAAACTTTTAATGTGATCTCTATCAATTTGTGTCTTTGCTCCTGCAGATGAAATTGTTGTCTCAAATAACTGATTCCCTTGTGGTGTTAAATAAATGCAGAGGTGATATATAGAACCTTTTCTCACCTGGCTTGTACAGTGCTGCTAGGAACTTCCATCCATATGGGATAGCTAGCCAATGTTGATGACAATGATAGCTTATCTGTCCTGGTGATCCTTTGGTTCCAATAATGCCGTAAAATTTTGTTTCAAGTTAAGAATATAGAATGGCACAAATGGTGCAAGTTAGCGAAAAATAGAGCTCTATCGTTTTTTCGTAATCTAAATACAGTCATCTGTCACTTAATGGTGGGAATATGTTTTGAGAAATGCATCATTAGGTGAGTTTGCCATTGTTTGAACATCATAGAGTATAGTCTCACAAACCTAGATGGTACAGCCCAGTAGTCCCCAAGGTTTTTGGCACCAGGGACTGACAGTCTCAGCTACTCCAGAGGCTGAGGCAAGAGAATCCCTCAAACCAGGAGGTGGAGGTTGCGGTGAGCCGAGATTGTGCCATTGCACTCCAGCCTGGGAAATAAGAGTGAAACTCCGTCTCAAAATAAATAAATAAACAAATAGATAAAAATGAAAAATTTCATTGAGTTATTGAAAGCCAATAGTTTTCAATAGTTTCAAGAAGACCTTCCCCCAAGGTATTAACAAGTAATTTAGAGAAGGTTTTCTTGTCAGTGTTTCCTGTGGCTATGTGCCATCCTTCCTCCAGGTTCCCTCTATCAATGTATCCTCTAAACACAGACAATTGCAGCCAGGCGTGGTGGCTCACGCCTGTAATCCCAGCACTTTAGGAGGCCGAGGTGGGTGGATCCCAAGGTCAAGAGAGTGAGACCATCCTGGTCAACATAGTGAAACCCCATCTCTACTAAAAATACAAAAAATTAGCTAGGCATGGTGGCGCTTGCCTGTAATCCCAGCTACTCAGGAGGCTGAGGCAGGAGAATTGCCTGAACCCAGGAGGCGGAGGTTGCTGTGAGCCGAGATCGCACCATTGCACTCCAGCCTGGGTAACAAGAGTGAAACTCTGTCTCAAAAAAAAAAAACACACACACAGACAATTGCAAATTAATAACACCCAGAGGGCCAGGTATAGTTTGATCTTCAGTTTCCTCTCTAGATTTAGGTGACTTTGGATAAGCTATATAACTTACCACCTTTTCTTTTTTTTTTCTGAGGCAAGGTCTTGCTCTGTCACCCAGGCTGAGTGCAATGGCACAATCATGGCTCGCTGCAGCCTTGACAAACTGACAAATTTCATATCTGTTTACCTCATTTACTCCTCCAACAATTCCCAAGGATTGGCAGGTAGGGCAAATACATTTGATAGGGAAAATCAGGCTCATCAACTCTTAGTGACTTGCCCAAGACCTAAAGCTAGAGAGTGAGAGGACTAGATGCCTTCTCTAACTCTTCAGCTGTGCTGCCTTAGTTAAGACTTATGTATGTCCTTGTGCTCATGTTTCTCACCAGCCAAGGGATCTGCTTTTCTACTTCTAGGTTGTTGCCAATGCCAAAGGTGCTATGACTGGGGCAAAAGATGCTGTGACGACTACTGTGACTGGGGCCAAGGATTCTGTGGCCAGCACGATCACAGGGATGTTGGACAAGACCAAAGGGGCAGTGACTGGCAGTGTGGTGAAGACCAAGTCTGTGGTCAGTGGCAGCATTAACACAGTTTTGGGGAGTCGGATGATGCAGCTTGTGAGCAGTGGCATAGAAAATGCACTCACCAAATCAGAGCTGTTGGTAGAGCAGTACCTCCCTCTCACTGAAGAAGAACTAGGTAACTGGAATTTTCCCTTGAAATACTGTTTTATAAATCTTTTTAAAACAGCTTTATTGAGATATACTCTTGTCTTTAGTCTAAATTTACACAGTTGTGCAACTATCACCACACTCCAGTTTTAGAATACTTCTGCTACCCCAAAAGACCCTCATGTTTGTTTGCAGTCCTTTTTATTTTATTTTTTATTGTATAGAGATGGGGTCTCACTATGTTGCCCAGGCTGATCTCGAACTCCTGGGCTCAAGTGATCCACCTGCCTTGACCCCCCAAAGTGCTGGGATTATAGATGCGAGCCACCACAGCCGGCAGTCAATCCTTATTCCCTCCCAAGGCAATCACTAATCTTTTTGCCTGTGTAGATTTTTCCTTCCTAAAGCAATCATAAATTTCACATTGAATTGTACATAGTAAGTTTTGAAAGTTTAGTAAAAATGGGACTTGGAAAATATTTTTTGTAAATGGATTATCTTTAATGGATTGTTTTATAAAATTCTTATTACAAAGAATCATCATTAGATAATGTGTGCCAGGTAGCATGCGGCTCAAGTTCACGCTAGGCTAGGCGCAGTGGTGCATGCCTGTAATCCCAGCACTTTGGGAGACTGAGATGGGCAGATCACTTGAGTTCAGGAGTTTTAGATTAGCCAGGGCAACATGGCGAAACCCTAAAAATGCAAAAATTAGCTGGACATGGTGGCTTGTGCCTGTAGTTGCAGCTACTTGGGAGGCTGAGGTGAGAGGATCAGTTGAGTCTGGGAGGTTGGGGCTGCAGGGAGCCAAGATTGCGCCACTGCACTCCAGCCCGGGTGACAGAGTGAGACTTCATCTCAAAAAAGTAGTTTTACTCCAGTGGAAGAAATGTGTAGATAGATGCATACAGTGTGTATCAGATACAGTAATATGTTCAAGACAGTCAAGTCCAGCAGCAGACATAAGCAGTTTTGGAAACATGACTGCATGATTGCTAAGTGATTGGGTAACAGTAAGAAAGTCAAGATTCAGATTAGAGTCCGGACCTCCTTATCATTTATCCCTGTGATCCCTTAAGTTGTTTTTTTTTTTTTGGCTCACTGCAACTTCCGCCTTCTGGGTTCAAGCCATTCTCCTGCCTCAGCCTCCTAAATAGCTGGGATTACAGATGCGCACCACCATGCCCAGCTAATTTTTGTAGTTTTAGTAGAGACGGGGTTTCACCATATTGACCAGGATGTTCTCGTGATCTGCCCATCTCGGCCTCCCAAGGTGCTGGGATTACAGGCCTGAGCCATCGCGCCTTCCTCTTAAGTTTTTTTGTCTCTTCTTTCTAATTCCAGAAAAAGAAGCAAAAAAAGTTGAAGGATTTGATATGGTTCAGAAGCCAAGTTATTATGTTAGACTGGGATCCCTGTCTACCAAGCTTCGCTCCCGTGCCTACCAGCAGGCTCTCAGCAGGGTTAAAGAAGCTAAGCAAAAAAGTCAAGAGACCATTTCTCAGCTCCATTCTACTGTTCAGCTGGTGAGTAAAACTTTATTTTAAGGTATCTGAAGTGAGTTCATTTATCTCTAGGCTCAAGAGTTAATGTAATCAAAATCCAAGAATTTCACTCTTACTTGATGAACAACCCAGTAGAAAACTGGACAAAGAATATGAAGACAATTCACAGAAAAAGAAGTATAAGGGCCAGGTGCAGTGGCTCACGCCTGTAATACCAGCGCTTTGGGAGGCTGAGGTGGGCAGATCACGGGGTCAAGAGATCGAGTCCACCCTGGCCAACATGGTGAAACCCCATCTCTAAAAGAAAAAAAATTATTTAAAAAAAAAAAAAAAGAAAAGAAGTATAAATAGCTGAAATACCTGAAGTAATGCTAATCTTGCTCTGAGGGGTCAAATACCAACACCTCTCTGTTGTCCTGCCATGCTGGAAATGTGGCTGTTGGCAGTGGTGTAGAGAAAGAACCACACTTATGCAGCTCTTGCTCTAAGGGACTGACTGATTCAAGAGACAGTTATAGGAAAGTTACAAACATACCTATACTTTGAGCAGTTTTACTTTTTATCCTACAGATGTGTATATTTGTTTAAAGTTGCAAGAGACTATAACAATGCACAACCACTAATGGGACTAATTAAATTGATATATCACAGTAGAGTACTGTGTAGCCATTAAAGGTTGCCAAGTTAGCCATGTGTGGTGGTTCACACCTGTAATCCCAGCACTTTGGGAGGCTGAGGCTGGTGGATCACGAGGTCAGGAGTTCGAGACCAGACTGACCAACATGGTGAAACACCATCTCTATTAAAAATACAAAAAAAAATTAGCTGGGCATGGTGGTTCATGCCTGTAATCCCAGTTACAAAGGCTAAGGCAGGAGAATTGCTTGAACCCAGGAGGCAGAGGTTGTAGTGAGCCAAGATCGCACCATTGCACTCCAGCCTGGGTGACAGAGCAAGACTCTGTCTCAAGAAAAAAAAAAAAAGGTTGCCAAGTTATAGAACAGTATGTACCATTCTGTACTGCCATAATAAAACCATTTCTTCCTGGAAGGGGAAATAGTTGGTTGGCAACAGGGAAGAGAAAGGTTGAATTGCTTTCTGTTATTTTAATGTAACTTACCCTTTACTCATATACACATTACATTTTAGTTGCTGGCTAGGCGCCATGGCTCATACCTGTAATTCCAACACTTTGGGAGGCCAAGGCAGGTGGTTTACCTGAGGTCAGGAGTTCGAGACCAGCCTGGCCAACATGGTGAAAACCTGTTTCTACTAAAAATGTGAAAATTAGCTGGACATGGTGACATATTCCTGTAATCCCAGCTACCAAGAAGGCTGAGGCAGGAAAATCACTTGAACCTGGGAGACAGAGGTTTCAGTGAGCCATCATCACGCCACTGCACTTCAGCCTGGGTGACAGAGCGAGACTCTCTCTCAAAAAAAAAAAGCTTTAGTTGCTTTACCTGTGCTGAACTGGAGGTTAATTTGGAGTCAGTGATTTAATAGTTAAATAGAGGCAATAAAGAGCTACTACTGCTTGGTTAACTTACACATATTGATAATAAATAACAATGATAGCAGGAATAGATCTCATTCAACTCCAGGAAATTCTTAGTTTTTATGTTGCCTGATTTACATCATATATCTGCAAACAGACTAACATGAATGTCTGACCTGTGTGTTTCTTTGTGTTGTTTCAATGTGTCTAGATTGAATTTGCCAGGAAGAATGTGCATAATGCCAATCAGAAAATTCAGGATGCTCAGGATAAACTCTACCTCTCATGGGTGGAGTGGAAAAGGAGCATTGGGTATGATGATACTGATGAGTCCCACTGTGCTGAGGTAAGATGACTGGGACAGTCATTTGCTAGTTTCCAAAGTTCTTACCAAACTTTTCATTTTAATTTTTCCATACTCTGTCTTAGAATACTCTTCTCTATCAAAAGGTTGAACAATACTTTGTACATAGGTGGCTAGTTAAGTGGCAGAAAAGCAAAACTACGCAGGGAGTAATTTTATTTAACAATCTGAATATACATATGCCCCAAGTGAGAGACAACTAAACACAGGCCTTGCCCTCAAAATGGGTACAGACTAACAGGGGATACAGCCAGCCATGCTGTCCTATTGTCTTTTTTTTTTTTTTTTTTTTTTTTTTTAAGATGGGGTTCACCATGTTGGCCAGGCTGGTCTTGAACTCCTGACCTCAAGTGATCCACCCACCTCAGCCTCCCAAAGTGCTAGGATTACAGGTGTGAGCCACTGCGCCCGGCTGTCGTTTTTTTTTTTTTAACCTGCTCCTTGCAGAAGAGGGCTACCCCATAGGCAATATATTCAGAGTAGCCAAGTTCTATTATTTTTTAACAGCATAAATATAGGCACTATTGGCCGGGTGTGGTGGCTTACACCTGAAATCTGAGAACTTCGGGAGGCCAAGGACTCCTAAGTCACCTAAGGTCAGGAGTTCAAGACCAGCCTGGCCAACATGGAGAAACCTCATCTCTACTAAAAATACAAAATTAGCCAGGCATAGTGGTGTGCAGCTGTAGTCCCAGCTACTTGGGAGGCTGAGGCAGGAGAATCACTTGAACCCTGGAGGTGGAGGTTGCAGTGAGCTGAAATCGTGCCATTGCACTCCTACCTGGGTGACAAAGTAAAACTCCATCTCAAAAATATAAGCACTGTGAAAATTTATGGGATGACTATCTCAGGCAGGCTTGGAGTCAGGGTGGGTGAATCACATGGCTTCCTGGAAGAGATGAATGGTAAGCTGAGAACTAATTGGTGAATAAACTAGGTGAAAGGGCAATAAGGGTATTAATGTTTCAGGCAGAAGACATAGCATCTTAGCTGAGCACAATAGCTCACACTTGTAATCCCAGCACTTTGGGAGGCCAAGGCAGGCAGATCTCTTGAGCCCAGGAGTTTAGGATCAGTCTGGGCAATGGTGAAACCCCATCTTTACAAAAAATACAAAAATTAGCAGGGGTTGGTGGTGTGCACCTGTAGTCTTAGTTGGCTTGGGAGGCTGAGGTGGGAGGATCACCTAAGCCCGGGAGGTTGGGGCTGCAGTGGGCCATGATTATGCACTGCCTGGATCCAGCCTGGGTGACAGACTAAGACCCTATCTCAAAAAAGAAAGAAACATCCTCTTACAGTCCTAGAAAGTGGTTCTTTGTGTCCCAAAAACTCTGAGGTCAGTATTAAACTGTTCATTCATATCTTGCCATTTTACATATATGTTACACTACTAAGAGGGAATATATATATATATATATTACATTTTATATATATATATTACATTATATATTATACTACTAATAAGAAGTATATTTCCATTCTTTTGGGTCTCCCCTACCTAATATGTTTCTTCAGTTTAAGATCATGAACTTTGGAGACTTAGACACTAGTTTGAATCCCTGCCCAGCTGTTTTCCAGTTGTTAACTGAAGCCATCTACTTAAACTCTAAGCTTGTATTCATATCTATGAAATGTGAATAATACCGCCGCACTCAGCATTGTAATGAGTATTTTTAAAAGCCAAAGAATCCACATAGGTGGTGGACACATAACCAGCTTACTTTCATTGAACTAACCTTATACATAGCACTGTTGGATCCACTGCTAATATTAAGTTTTATTTTTAGCACATCGAGTCACATACTCTTGCTATTGCCCGAAACCTGACTCAGCAGCTCCAGACCACATGCCACACCCTCCTGTCCAACATCCAAGGCTTACCACAGAACATCCAAGATCAGGCCAAGCACATAGGGGTGATGGCCAGCGACGTCTACTCAGTGTTCCGAAATGCTGCCTCCTTTAAGGAAGTGTCTGACAGCCTCCTCACTTCTAGCAAGGGGCAGCTGCAGAAAATGAAGGAATCTTTAGATGATGTGATGGATTATTTTGTTAACAACACGCCCCTCAACTGGCTGGTAGGTCCCTTTTATTCTCAGATGACTGAGTCTCAGAATGCTCAGGACTAAAGTGCAGAGATGGACAAGAGCAGCCAGGAGGCCCAGCAATCTGAGCACAAAACTCACTAAACCTGCCCGTCACCAGTGCGTGATGTGGCCAGCTGACACCTTTTGTTATGTTGAAATTAACCTGCTAGACAACACTAAATTGGGTGGCAAGTAGCTAGTAAAAAAGCCCTCAATTATATTATTTCCAGCTGAATTAAGAGCTTTAATGCTTCTGGCATTAGCAGATGATTTCTGTTTACCTGGTAAGAAAAGAATGACAGGCTTGTCAAAGCCTAGCCCAAACTCACAAAAAATTCAAGTGCACTTATGTTCCAATTCTGTGGCCAGTGTGTTGTCTCCGTTACTGTTTGTATTGAATAAAAACATCTTCATGTGGGCTCGGGTAGAAACTGGTGTCTGTTCTGGTATGATCTGAGCAGGCCTCTTTACTGGTTTATCTCATGATGATTGCTTGTACAACTTGATTTTAGTTTTTTATTTCTCAAATAGGAAAACTACCTTTGAATTCAATAAAAGTCACTGCAGGATAGACCAGTTACATGCTGTTTGTTCCATGTGCTTTGTGTGTTGCTTTCATAAAGTTGCTCAACCTGCATGACAGAGTTATACATACATGAATTTCAATTGGCCTGTGGGGGAATTTGGCAGAGTGAGAACATTGGAGGCTAATGTTAAAAATGGGTTGCTTGATAACAGATTTAACACAAATTAAAAAGTAATGTGCATATTCAGATTTTACTGGGTGACATTTGCTCTTGCTTTGCCAAGTTACTGGGCCCCTGTGAGTGGGTTTTTAAGCAGTAAAAGGACCTAGTCATGTCTGACTACCTCACTGAAAAAGAATCAGAACTGAAAGGAAGTGAGTGATTGTTTTCATCAGTGTCATGTAAAGGCATTAGGCATTTCTTGCCAGGGAACCAGTTAAAGTGTGAGCCCTAAAAGGGAGATTCTTCGGTGTCCAGCCTGAACTGGACTTAACTTACTGCATTTTCATTTTAAGAGAAAGTCACTAACCTCAGTTGTTTTGGGGGAGGTACTTATAGAAAACCATGTGAAACTAACTACAAGTGAAAAGACTAATCCCCCTGTAGAAAAGGGTTTTTCTTACCACCTGCCTATGGTATCCAGACTTCCAGTCCATTAAATGTTGGTTATTTAGGAACTATCCTGAATCCCCTTCTCACACAGTTGCAATATGTCAAACTAGTTTTTAAAAGCCAGTCTCAGAACTTGTGTAATAGGCCAGGTGCTGTGGCTCATACCTGTAATCCCAGCACTTTAGGAGACTGAGGCAGGCAGATCACCTGAGGTCGGGGGTTTGAGACCAGCCTGACCAACATGAACTGAAGTATAACTCAAATTTGTCTCTTTCTATCCTGGTTCACCCCTTTCCATGAAAACAAGGAAGCAGCACATAACTTTACATGCTCCTTTGGTGTGAATGAATCTATTAAAGATTTTTATTGGCCAGGCACATTGGCTTATGTCTGTAATCCCAGCACTTTGGGAGGCTGAGGTGGACAGATCACCTGAGGTCAGGAGTTTGAGACCAGCCTGGCAATATAGTAAAACCCAGTCTCTACTAAAAACTAAAATTAGGCTGGGTGTGGTGGCTCACGCCTGTAATCCCAGCACTTTGGGAAGCTGAGGTGGGCAGATCATGAGGTCAGGAGTTTGAGACTAACCTGTCCAACATGGTAAAACCCCATCTCTACCAAAAATACAAAAATTAACTGGGCATGGTGGCTGGCACCTGTAATCTTAGCTACTCAGGAGGCTGAGGCAAGAGAATCGTTTGAACCCAGGAGGTGGAGGTGGCAGTAGCAGAGATGTGCCATTGCACTCCAGCCTGGGTGACACAGTGAGACTCTGTCTCAAAAAAAAAAAAAAATCCACAAAAATTAGCTGGGTGTGGTTGTGTGCACTGTAATCCTGGCTACTAGGGGGCTGAGGCACAAGAATCCCCTGAACCAGGGAGGTGGAGTTTGCAATGAGATGGGATCATGCCACTGTGTTCCTGCCTGGGCAACAGTGAGAACCTGTCTCAAAAAAAAAAAGAAAAAAGGCCGGGCGTGGTGGCTCACACCTATAATCCCAGCACTTTGGGAGGCCGAGGCGGGTGGATCATGAGGTCAAGAAATCAAGACCATCCTGGTCAACAAGGTGAAACCCCGTCTCTGCTAAAAATACAAAAATTAGCTGGGCATGGTGGCGTGCGCCTGTAATCCCAGCTACTCAGGAGGCTGAGGTAGGAGAATTGCCTGAACCCAGGAAGCGGAGGTTGCGGTGAGCCGAGATCGCGCCATTGCACTCCAGCCTGGGTAACAAGAGTGAAACTCCATCTCAAAAAAGAAAAAAAAAAAATTTTGTTAAGTTATAAAATTTTTCTCCTCAGTGCAACTCCAGAAATTAGTAAACAGGTGAGCTGAGTTGGAGGGTAGGAACTCCCTGGGATACTTGAAGCTGCTTTTTAATTTGTTTTGCAGATAAGGAGCTTCTGGTTTTGGGAAGGATGGACTTTTGTGATTTATGAGTTTCCAGGACAGAGTCTATTCACTCATTTGCCTCCCTGTTCCCAGTAACTGGCATTTTCTGAAGCCTCTGCCTCTTAAATTTTCTTTCTTTTTTATTTTCTTCTTTTCTTTCTTTCTTTCTTTCTTTTTTTTTTTTGAGGTAGAGTCTCGCTCTGTTTCTCAAGCTGGAGTGCAGTGGTATAGTCTCGGCTCACTGTGACCTCTGCCTTCCAGGCTCAAGCCATTCTCCTGCCTCAGCCTTTCAGGTAGCTGCGATTACAGGTGTGCGTCACCATGCCCTGCTAGTTTTTGTATTTGTAGTAGAGACAGGGTTTCACCGTGTTGGCCAGGCTGGTCTCAAAATCCTGACCTCAAGTGATCCACCTGCCTCATCCTCCCAAAGTGCTGGGATTACAGGGGTCAGCTATTGCACCTGACTGAATTTTTTTTTTCTTAGTCCAAATTACCCTGCCCCTTTGTGCCTCCAAACTCCCAGGACTGGTATTTTGCAGTTTATTCCAGTTGATTGGAAAATTCATAAGCTATAGTTATATACATGCTTTCTTATTTTGAATACATAGCTTTGTGTTTCCCCATTATGGGAGTATATAGTGTGTTACTTAAGTTAATACAGATTTTTAAAAAAAGAAGAGTTGTAGTGCTTACTGAATAGCTTATGAAAAGGAGACAGGTCTCAAAGCTCTTCCTAAGCAGGGACAGAATAAAATGTAGACCATTCTTAGCTTTTGGAAGAACACCAGCAGCCCTTGCTTTTTGCCGTGAGCTGTGCACATTGATCATGGTTTTGCTATCTTTGTGTTTCAAGTTTGTGTCTACATGCATTTCATTCGTCAACATGTCTCAGGATTTGTGGTGTTCTGGCTTTTTTGTTTTTTTTTTAGATGGGCTGGAGTGGAGTGTTACGATTGGCTCACTGCAACCTTCACCTTCCAGGCTCAAGCAATTCTTCCACCTCAGTGTATCTGGGACCACAAGCATGCACGACCATACCCCGCTAATTTTTGTGTTTTTGTAAAGTTGGGGTTTCACCATCTTGCCCAGGCTGGTCTCAAACTCCCGAGCGCCAATGATCCACCCACTTCAGCCTGCCAAAGTGCTGGGATTCCAGGCCTGAGCCACTGAATCCAGCCTGTTTTCTCACATCTTGCAGCTTCATTGTTGCATAAACTGGCAGAAAATTTTCATTTTATTGACTTTTTTCCTCCAGAAAACAGTTGTTTTGAGGGAAAATACTAAGGCTAACACAGTATCTAACCATGGTAGGTTCGTAAACATGGGACTGCATGAAGCCTGGCATGGTGTGTCTGAGGGAGTGTTCAAGAATGTTTTTTCCTTTGCCTGTAATAATAATATAGTCTTTCTAGTTTGTCCTATGCAGAAATGCAAAGAAACATGACGCATTGGCCATTAACCTTTGAGCCTTAGTTTTCTTGTCTATTAAGTTAATGTTGCCACAACAGATGGAAGTGAGTGTTGAGGATGGGGAAGTGTTTTTCTAATTTGTACTAGAGGCATGGGGACATCATCTGTGGGATAGTGACATGTTGTATCTTTAACTTGGCAGTTCAGGTGTGAGTATATAATACCAGCTAATGGTTAGGAAAATGTTTCCACTTTGGTAAGGGAGTTATAGGTATTAAAGAGCTAATGAAACTGGGCCTGGTGGTACATACCTACAGTCTCAGTTACTCAGGTGTCTGGAACAGGAAGATTGCTTGAGCCCGGGAGTTCAAGGCTGCAGGAAAAAAAATTAACGAAGTGAAAAGGGAAAAACTAAAATTTGATTTACATGAGATATGTAAGATACAGGGCTAAAGGTCAGCTAAAGCCAAAGACTTGTTTTATGGTATCTTTCTTGTTTACCTTTTGAGATTCTCATGCTCCCTCCCTCCCTCCACCCCAAAATGGACTTCTTTGGAACTGAATTTATAAAACTTTAGTTTTAGAAATTACCGACTCCTGAAAAAAAAAAGGTGTCAATTTGACCCTCACTAGGCTAGACCTAGTTCATATTTTTAGGACTGGTGATGGTTAAGGCTAACTAATCATCCTAAACTGAGAGTCAAGAATAGAGTGCTCAGCTGGGCGTGGTGGCTCATGCCTGTAATCCTAGCACTTTGGGAGGCTGAGGTGGGTGGATCACCTGAGGTCAGGAGTTCAAGACCAGCCTGGCCATCATGGTGAAACCCCACCTTTACTAAAGATACAAAATTAGCTGGGCATGGTGGCTTGCTCCTGTAATTCAAGCTACTGAGACATGAGAATTGCTTGAACCTGGGAGGCGAAGGTTGCAGTGAGCCAAGATCACACCACTGCACTTCAGCCTGAGCGACAGAGCAAGACTCAGTCTCAAAAAAAAAAAAAAAGGAAATTGTTTTTGTTTTTTGAGACGGAGTTTCGCTCTTGTTACCCAGACTAGAGTGCAACGGCACGATCCCGGCTCACCGCAACCTCCGCCTCCTGGGTTCAGGCAATTCTCCTGCCTCAGCCTCCTGAGTAGCTGGGATTACAGGCACGTGCCACCATGTCCAGCAAAATTTTTTTGTATTTTTAGTAGAGACGGGGTTTCACCATGTTGACCAGGATGGTCTCGATCTGTTGACCCCGTGATCCACCCACCTCGGCCTCCCAAAGTGCTGGGATTACAGGCTTGAGCCACCGTGCCCGGCAAGAAAATTGTTAAGATTGTCAGTAAGATGACTTAGTGAAATGATAGGAAGACAGTTGAAAGAAAAATGTTTGCGGTCGGAGGTAGACAGAATTGCCTGAGATTATTCTCTTGCTTAAACTGGGCCTGCAGATTAAAGATATAATATGAGATATAATATAATGAAAGGCTTTGAATCTCAAAAGGGAGCCTATCTTGATACAGAATATACTTTCTAGGTTTTTAGCCTCATACAGGTTTTATGAAAGTGCCATTTGAGAGTGCCATATAGAAGATAGTAGAGCTGGTCAGCCATGGTAGCTCATGCCTGTAATCCCAGCACTTTGGGAGGCCAAGGTGGGCAGATCACCTGAGGTCAGGAGTTCAAAACCAGCCTGGCCAACATGATGAAATCCCACCTCTACTAAAAATACAAAAATTATCTGGGTGTGGTGGCCCACGCTTGTAATTCCAGGTACTTGGGTGGCTGGGGCAGGAGAATCACTTGAACCTAGGAGGTAGAGGTTGCAGTGAACCAAATTCACACCACTGCGCTCTAGCCTGGGTGACAGACTCCATCTCAAAAAAATAAAATGAAACAAAAATCCAATGTCAGATTTTCCATTTTTAAGTGTACAATTCTGTGGGATTAAGCACATTCACAGTGTTATACAACAATCACCATTATATTCATCTTAAGCACAAATTCTGTACCCATTAAACAATAACTCCAGGATGGGAGAGGTGGCTCACGCCTGTAATCCCAGCACTTTGGGAAGCCAAGGCAGGTGGATCACTTGAGGTCAGGCGTTCAAGACTAGTTTGGCCAACACGGTGAAACCCATCTCTACTAAGAAATACAAGTAGCTGGGATTAAAGGCCTGCGCCACCACAGTGGCACAGGTGGTAGTGCATGCCTGTAGCTGGGCATGGTGGCAGTGCATGCCTGTAATCCCAGTTACTTGGGAGGCTGAGTCAGGAGAGTCACTTGAACCTAGGAGGCAGAGGTTGCACTGAGCAGAGATTACACCACTGCCCTCCAACCTGGGGGACAGAGTGAGACTCCATCTCAAAAAAAAAACCACAATAACTCTCCAAATCCCTTATCCCCTTCTGTCTATTTCTTTGAGGGATTTTTATTGTTGTTTGCTGTTTTTCATGTTAGGTTATTAGCTACTTTTTTCCCCTCCACTATCAAGATTCTAACCTTTAGTAATACGTTGCATGTTATTAATGTTCTTGTTTTAATCTGTTGTTTGTTAAGAAATGTTACTTAGCTTATGGAAATTGTATATAGAGTAAGGTTCTTTGTTCCTAAAGGCTTTCCTGTGCAGAGAAGAGGTAGGGTTTTGTGATGGCTGTTTGAACCATAAAAATACTTTTTGTTCCCTCAGTTGCTAGACATTTCCCTAGACACTTGCTTATGGAAAAGTAGGGGATTACTGTTTTTAAGAAATAACAGATTAATAGTTGAATAACGAGAAATGCTTTATAGCTGGTATTTTTTAAAAAGCCTTCATTGACTAGGTTCCACCACTAGTTAGTTTCCTTTTTAAAAGATCTCCTTAGGCCGGGCGTGGTGGCTCGCACCTGTAATCCAAGCACTTTGGAGGCCAAGGTGGGCGGATCACCTGAGGTTGGGAGTTCAAGACCAGCCTGACCAACATGGTAAAACCCCGTCTTTTTAAAAAAATAATAAAATAAAATAAAAGATCTCCTTAGTGCTTTTATAATCTGAGGGAATTGTGGGAATAAGACCACAAACATCTTTTCAAAAAGCACAGCTATGGACAAAGCAAGGTTCGCCTACATGCACTAAAGTCTCCATGAGCTCACATGGATCTGACAACTCACTTCATCAGTGTTTGTTTCAATATCTGAGATTCTTCTTTTACAGGTGTTTGATTTCACCACCATAGACTTGACATCTGAGACTGATGAAATTCCAGATATTATACCTTTGGAAGAGGAGAACAGATCAAATCATTCACACACTAATGGCTTTGTCCCCTCATGGCAAAATGATGAATAACTAACAACATCAACAAAATACCCCTAGGTTGGGGGCAGTGGCTCCTGCCTGTAATCCCAGCACTTTGGGAGGCCGAGGCAGGTGGATCACGAGGTCGGGAGTTCAAGACCAGCCTGTCCAAGATGATAAAACCCATCTCAACTAAAAATTACAGAAAATATAGCTGGTGCGGTGGCATGTGCCTGTAATCCCAGCTACTCAGGAGGCTGAGACAGGAGAATTGCTTGAACCCAGGATGTAGCAGTTGCAGGGAGCTGAGATTGTGCCACTGCACTCCAACCTGGGTGACAGAGCAAGATTCTGTCTCAAAAAAAAAAAAAAAATACCCCTTTTGGTTGAATACACAATTCATACTAGATTGAACTTCCTGTTTTTATTCCTGTGGCTTTGAAGAGTGTTCATCTATTTTTTGGCTACGTTGATCTTAATTGCAATAAAACACTGAACTAAACTTTTGTAAGAGATCATAGTTCTGTGTCATATATCCTTTAATACAATTATTTAAAGTTTAATTGCTGAAATACTTATAATAAAAACTGGGCTGCATAATCTTGACTTCATGAGTTTTTTTCACACTGGTATAGTGCACATTTGTTGTCTTTTGGTCTCCCATGATTCATTCATGCTTCTTTTGAGGGTCTCAGTGGGGATAGTTGTCAAGGTTTTTGCTTTCCCTTAGCCTAGTGGTGGGCATGTGACCAAAAGCAGGTCAACTGGGAGGAAGCATAGCGTGATGGGTAAGGGCTCAGCCTCTGGGTTCTAATCTGGCTCTGCCAGTTATTATGTGATCCTGAGCAGGTTAGTTAATTTCTCTGCACCTCATTTTTTTAATCTGTAAAACAGGAATAGTGTTAGGTTTGCTATGAAGCTTAGATAATTAGCATTTGTGAAAAGCTTAGAGCAGTGCCTGGCACAGAGCAGCATTAAGTATTAGCTGCCTATAATCCCAGCACTTTCGGAGGCCAAGGCTAGTGGATCGCTTGAGGTTAGGGATTTGACACCAGCCTTCAACATGG